TTCTGTTATGTGTGCCTGATCCTCTAGCTTTTGCAGTAACCTCTTGTGAGGAACTGTGTCGAAGGCCTTCTTGCAGTCCAAAAATATGCAGTCGATCCATCCCTCTCTCTCTTGTCTTACTTCTGTCACCTTGTCATAAAACTCTAGTAGGTTTGTGACACAGGATTTTCCTTCCCTGAAACCGTGCTGGTTGTCAATTATGCACTTGTTTCTTTCCAGGTGCCCCACCACTCTCCTGATGATCTTCTCCATGACCTTGCATACTATACACGTTAGTGATACAGGTCTGTAGTAGTGCCTCATGTCTGTCTCCCTTTTTAAAAATTGGGACTACATTTGCCATTTTCCATACCTCAGGGAGTTGCCCAGTTTCAAATGATGTGTTGAAGAGCTTTGTTAATGGCTCACACAATATCTCTGCTCCCTCTTTAAGGACCCATGGAGAGATGTTGTCTGGTCCCACCGCCTTTGAGGTGTCAAGTTCGCATAGCAGCTTCTTCACCTCCTCCTTGGTTATATGTACCTCATCCAGCACTTGCTGGTGTGCCCCCCAGTTCTGATTTCTTGGAGTCCTATTGGTTTCCATTGTAAATACTTCTTTAAATCTTGTGTTGAGCTCCTGACAAACCTCTCGGTCGTTTCTTGTGAATTCCCCATCACCCTTCCTCAGTCTGATTTCCTGGTCCTTGACTGTTGTTTTCCTCCTGATGTGGCTGTACAGCAGCTTCGGGTCAGTCTTTACTTTTGATGCTATTTTCATTTTCGTATTGTCTCTGAGCCCCCTTCTTATCTGTGCATATTCGTTTCTGGCTCTTCGGCTAATTTCTTTATTTTCCCCAGTTTTGTCTTCTGTGTGTGTGTGTGTGTGTGTTTTGTGTGTGTGTGTGTGTGTGTGTGTGTGTGTGTGTGTGTGGGGTGTGTTGTGTGTGTGTTGTGTGTGTGTGTGTGTGGTGTGGTGTGTGTGTGTGTGTGGGGTGTGTGTGTGTGTGTGTGTGTGTGCGTGTGTGTGTGTATGCATGCTATACACCTGTATGCTATGCACGTGTATGTTATACACTTCCATGCAAAAGCAAATTTATCAGCTCTACGAAGTGTAAATACAAAACACACGTAAACCACACACACACACACACACACCACACACACACACAACACACAAAACGCACACACATACACACACACATAAAACACCCCACACACATATATACACACACACTGCACTCCCCACACACACACCAACACACACACACACACACACACACACACACACACACCACACACACACACACCACACACACACACACACACACACACATACACACACAAAAACACACACAACACTCTCTACATTAGTGCCTCGTACTCTCCTGGTTTAGTGGCCTCGTCGTACTCTCCACGTTAGGGGCCTCGTACTCTCAACGTTAGT